GTGTGTGTGTGTGTGTGTGTGTGTGTGTGTGTGTGTGTATTTGACTGTATGATGTATGTGACTGCCTGCCTACTTCAAGGACTTTGTGCATTCAATGTGAGAGGGTGGTTAAGCATGTGCATTTGTACGTGTTTGTGTGTATGTGGGTGGGCGGCTGAGTTTGACGTGTGTGTGTGTGTGTGTGTGTGTGTGTGTGTGTGTGTGTGTGTGTGTGTGTGTGTGTGTGTGTGTGTGTGTGTGTGTGTGTGTGTGTGTGTGTGTGTGTGTGTGTGTGTGTGTGTGTGTGTGTGTGTGTGTGTGTGTGTGTGTGTTTGTGTGTGTGTGTACCCACATATGGAGCATACGGGAGGGGCGGGAAGGCGAGGCGGGGTGGGTGGGAAGTGGTTGTTTTTACTTATCAGGATCTGTGATAAAATTGAGAACTCAACAAAGACTGAGGGCTCGGTGGCAGAGGAGGTCTTCGTCTCTGCTGTGTGTGTGTGTGTGTGTGTGTGTGTGTGTGTGTGTGTGTGTGTGTGTGTGTGTGTGTGTGTGTGTGTGTCTGTCTTGGCGTGTGCGGCTGTAAAACTGTCACACACATCAGAGCTGCCATCGCTGTATGCGTTTGCTACTATTATTAACCACTATGTACGCACACCAATATGTTCCAGAGAGCCCTCCCTGGCGCACTGCATATGGCACACAACCCAAACAGACACACACGTGCACAATCACACACAATCACACACAAACACACACAAACACGCTATCTTAATAAATAAAAACATTTGACTTGCCAGATTTGAGAGTTGTCACAGCCCCGCCCACATCAGTTGTCTCTGTTTGAGTGACAGTGTAGGGGCTGTAGAGACTCTGATCTCATACGGGACCAGAGGGAAGTGATGTGTTTGAATGTGTGTATAATGTGACAGCAGACATGCTTTATATAAATATATTTATATACATTCTTCGTACCATATACTGTTTACATATCAGTCTTAGAGCCTCCCTTAGGAATCTGAAGCCATACAGTCTTTTATTTTAATGTGCTGTCTTTAGCCATTAAAGAGACTTTATTAAATCAGACAATAGCTACGTTATCCCTACCGTATGTATCAATGCACTATAGCAGTAGTTCCCAAACTTTTTCTGTCAGGCCCCCCCTTTGGAGAAAAAAAAAAGTCGGGCCCCCCCCAACACAAGTCAGGCTCAGTGGCAGCGCCAGAGATTTTATTTTGGGGGTGCTGTGGGGTAGCTTGACGTTTCATAGAGGGTGCTGAAACATTTAGGGTTTCCCATTAATGTACCGGTCGCTACAGTGGAATTTTCTACTTCAACAATCCCCACGCATATACACAGTGTACCCGCGACTGTTACAATGAAGACTCGATAATCAGCTCACGGCATATAGGTGTAAGCAGGGGTAAAGTGCTATTTTTATAGGTGGTGTGTGGACCTTATATAGGGGGGTCCGGGGGCACGCTTAAATGCATCAGTCTGGTGCACTTTGAGAGCAAAATGAAGAGATCTATGGATAAATCTCTCAACACCCATTTGAAACAGAACTGTAAACAGATTTACTTTTTCTTTATGGATATTTTACAAATCACTCCCTTTTAAACTTTATTCATTTTTTAATGTCATATAGTATTTCATACCTGTTTTTCATTTATTCTCTTATTTTTTTTATAACTATAATGATCATATAAATGTGTGTCTCGGAAATAATTGTTTACATTAATGGTGACCAAAACGTTTGAGACCCACTGAGATAACACTGAGAGAGTCCTTTATCTCACTGAGTCTCTCAGTCTGACAGGAGAGGACTCTCCTCCACTTTGTTGTTGAAAAAAACTCCTTATATAGGTTAGCGTAGCTCGCTAGCACAACAACGATCTCTGGTACCGGTGCGCTCTCTCTCGCTCGCGCACACACACAAAATGGCTCGTTTCACACACACACAGAGCCGAGCTTTAATGAAACACAGTAACCCAGACGTAATAGTACTGTATCATATTATTTTCGAATCAATAATTTTTCAAATTATGATTTTTTTTATTTTTTAATAACCATTTTCCCTCCTCGTCTCCCCCTTTCATGCCTCTGCGCCCCCTAGGGAACCACTGCACTATAGGGATAACACTTCCATAATTACTTGATAAGCTGTTGTTTGTTTATTTCTGTTCATTGATTGGTTGAAATAACGTAAATCATAGTGAGAACATTTCCAAAACCATTTAAGGTCTTACTTTGTGCTCTTAGGAACTCAGATCTGACTAACAGTCCAAAGCCTAAAGATATTCAATGATAAAGCAGTAAACAGTGACATGTGGGCGACTAAAATCAGTAAATGTTCGACATATTAGCCTGAAGAGATTCTGCCTTCTGGTTAGTCGACATATTGGTTCAGCTCTAATGTATTTACATTAATATAATACCAACTCTTCTTTACTTCTTTTACTTAATGTTTTTTATGAATGGAAAATCAATACAAACTTTTAAGGGAAATTGCTGGAGAGAAAAAATAATCATTATGTTATTGTTGTAGTGTATGAGGTCAAGAGGCACACTGAGATTTACAAACAGAAATATAATGTATGAAAATAATGTATTTTTAGGTTCTTACAAAATTAATAAAATGGCATGTCATTAGTGGCCTGCTTTTTATAATCAGGGTCTGGATAATTTACAGACTTCACTGTCAAAACTCCTTATTCGATCTAGAAATCAGCTAGAAAGAAGTCCCATAAGGGTAAAGGGATGTGAATATCTTGCAAAAAAAATAAAACGTATCTGAAAACCCGAGAATAAAACCAAAACTATCTGTATGGCATACCACTAGTAAGTGAGAAAATATGTTTTAGATGAATCGCCCCTTTATCGTGAGTTCAACAGTGTTCCTGTTCCAACATCCCTTTGAGTTTTTAACCAAGAAGACAGCTTGTATGCAATGTGCGACTCATAATCTTACTTTTCCTCATCTGGCAGTCTGTTTTCTACATCATACCTGTGGAACTGATAACTCTCACTCGCATCTCTTTCCACGTCCCTCTGTCCATGACTGGGCCCTATACCGTGGGGATATGTCTAAACAGGAACGGCACAAAGGGGGGTGCTCTTCCGCAGTTTTTAGTACAGTGAGCCCCCCAACACACACACACACACACACACACACACACACACACACACACACACACACACACACACACACACACACACACACACACCCTGCTTGCCATTTTCCCAAGACAAAAGAAAAAGAGGCAGCTAATATATTTGCAGCTTTGTAATGTGAAACGTTATGTCTGCAACGGTATCAATCTTCCATTAGCTTAAGATTTATCTCAAATCTCCTTGGTCGACAAGTAGAATAAATAAAATATCGAATCAAACATAGCCTTAAAATTTAATCTTGTACAAATAGTGGGGCACCCTTTAACCCGAATACACGGCGTATGTAACCCGTACACATCAAGCTGTAACTATCTGTTCACGTAAATATCTAAGAGAACTGTGTAAGGTTGCAGTATAAATAAAGAACCAATCATGTAAATTTACTCCTTCGCTGATATCGTTTTC